ACTATGGTAGGTTTTCAGTCAGTATTTCTCAAAAGAAAGAAAGGCTAAATGCATGCACTGAATGAGGCTAATCCATGCAGTGTTGCTGGGCAGAGTGCTTGGCAGGCGGAATATGAGTTATTATTTGATGCGTCCAAATCTCAAGGGGCTATTCAACCCAAAGAAGAGAAGGCAGTTCCCCTTGCCCCCCACCCCTAATATGAGAGGGATGACCAGAGAGAACTGAGAACTGGAGTCTAGTCAGTCCACTACTGTTGCTGCTTTCTGCTGTACATAAAAAAATGTCACTACTGCAGTGAAGCTTTGTACATTTTTCCTGGATGCTTCTCTAATCTCAAGGATGTCAGATCTGGGTCCCCACACAGGTCCAGCAGGAAACCATGAAGCACTTGGTGAATAGGGTAAGGACTGTTTCTGGGATGTGCACACCCAGAGATGCCACTTTGAAACTTTTCTTCCTGTTGACACTACGCTCAACTGCGTAAAGTGACTTTTTTTAAAAATTGACATACTTCTAGGCATATGCAGTTGCCAGAAATAATGTAGAGAAAACTCTTCACACTTTTCCCAATTTCCTTAATGGTTAACATTTGTAAAACTATACTACAATATCATAATCAGAATACTGACGATGATACTCGCTTTACTTATATTCATTTGTGCATGTTTGTATGTGTGTCTATAAGCTTTTCCATAAATTAAATTATATACATAAATTAAATTTTATACAATGTTATCACCACTGTAGTTCCTGTATCTACCACTACAGTCAAGATACAGAACAGTTCCAACCGCACATGTTGTTGCCCTTTAATACCACATCCACTTGTGCCCCCATCTCCCTCCTCTGCTCCTAAAATTCTGTCATTTTCTAAATACTATATAAATAGATATATATACATATAAATATGTAACATTTGGAGTTTGTCTTTTCTCCTCACTCATCATAATTTGTCCAAATTATTGCATGTATCAATAGTCTCTTCCTTTTTGTTGCTGAGTAGCATGCTCTGCTACATATGTATTGCACTTTGTTTTATCACTCACCTGTTTAAGGTCATCTGGGTCGATTCCAGGTTTTGACTATTATAAATAAAGCTGCTATACACATTCATGCATATGTTTTTATACGTGAATATAAGTTTTCATTTCTCTGGGATAAAAGCCCACGAGTGTAATTGTTGGGTCATATGCCAGTTGCAGGTTTAGTGTTTAGAGAAAACACTAAAAACAACATGTTGTTTTTCAGAGTATCTGTACTTTTTACATTATACCAGCAAAATATGCATAATCCAGTTTCTTTGCATCTTTATCACCATTAAATATTGTCAGTTTTTAAAATATCAGCCACTTCTATAGTTATGCAATATAAAGCAATTTTTTAAAAAACCTCATAACTCAATTCTTCTAGGAAAACAAACCTATATTTACATAACAAAGAGAGTATCTGATTGTCTCATTTGTGGGCCATCTCACCTTGTCTTTGAATAACTAGGATTCAAGTGATTTTTACTGAGGTGACTTTTTCTGAGCCAGGTGGTTACTTGTTCCAGAAGACACAGACTCAGGAGAGACTGATATTTTTGATGGTTGTATTGTTTAATTAAATAATCATCTATAAATATACAGGAAATAGAGGGCCTGTTTATAAGTATGAGTTTTCTGGTTTGTAATTCTACCATAGCTTAGTTTAATTGCATGTAAGGGAAGCACATTATGATTGAAAATTTCACAGAGAAAATTGGAAAATTATTCTCAACCACTTTTATTGTACATCTGGAACAGCTCTTGGCCACAGGGTGAAGAATAAGGACAAACAAAACAAAACAATTTGTGGGCACGCTCTAATCTGATACTGGAAAGGCCTATCTACCCTGTCAACACTTGCATGAAATTTCATTGTTGACAGTTTTTTTCTGGTTGAGCCCCAGTTATCCTCAAACCAAGAAAGGGAACTTGCCTTAAACAAGGATGGTTTAGACCATCTTCTTGTCACTCTCTTTTTAATGCCCCATATTAATAATCCCTGTGTTCTTAAATACATTGGTATCTCTTTCTCCCTCCTCTGTGAAGATAAACTGAGAAAAAGTCAAGCTTTGTTAAGTATCCACCTTAATTAAGGAAAGCAAATTTATTAAATATCAGTCCTTCTCTCTATTAATCAAGAATACTGCCAAAGAGATGGTGAAGGGCTCATTAGATATTTTTAATGACTTTTGAATGAACCACATATTTCATATTTCATTGTTTGGTAATGACATAGTTAAATGAAGGTTGTAGGTGTGGGCTTTGGAGTCAAATACACACAGTCAAAGCTGGGTCTTCGCACAGATTGGCTTGATCTTCCTGAGATGCAGTGCTCTTTCTGTAAATATTGTTTACTACCCAGGGGTACTGTGAGGATGAAAGGCAATATAATACACTGAAATATTTAGCATAGGGCATGTGCTCAACAACTGTGGCTATGATTATTATTTCTGATGCCTGACTATTAGACCATCAGAAATCCGAGTTTCCAGAAGGCAGTGGATGAATATAACTTTTCAAACTTTTGTCTCTGCCCCAGCCCAGAGCACAGAAACTGGCACATGGTAACCAGCATTCAATATCAGAGTGTTGAATTAATATGTATATGTATACATTGCATGCGGGAGAGCTCAATAACTGCATGGCTGAAATCAATGCCTCATTCAGTCACAAACTGTGAGTGAGTCAATTCTGTGCATAGGACGGATGTTACCGAATAAAGTATATGGATAATTCCGGGGCATGGTCATTGACCAAATCTAAATCAGCTATTTAGCAAATGAAGTGAGTCAGGCATGGGAGTAGGATTGACTATATTGTACCCTACCAGCCCCCTTCTGGAGAAACAACTTTTCTACAGATGCTACTTTTTCAAGATACAGTTTGGGATTCAATATCTACATTCAAAGCACTAGTCCTAATATGTATATAATGTATTCAATCTAGAAAAGTAATATAATAGCATCATAATTTGGAAAATAAAGGAAAGAAAAAAGATTATCAGGGTCCCCAAATCCCAATATTACTTCTGTAACCATGTCTGTTCTACTCCCTGTAAGATGCTTGGTTAAATGATATCCTTGGACATCACTAGGAAACCAGTGTTGCTGCACCCTCATCTCTGAAATAAGGCCATGAAAAATCTGTTCTATAAATACATCTGAAAAGTACTGTACTTTGAAATTATTGCGGGAGAGTGGTTTATCGTGATAAAGGCAATTTCAGGTCTATTATACTATCAAGTTCCAGTCTAGCTTTAGGCCTAATTAAGTCACTTTTACCTCCCTCTTTTAACTTTGTATAACACTTTATCTCCTTAGGGAAAATAAGTAAAGGAACAATGTTGATAGGTATAAAGAAAGAAGGGGAGGAGGAGAGAGGGAAAAAGAGACAGCAGTTGGGTGTGAGAAAGATCTGGGCTTGTTCTCAGAAAATCTGAATGCTCCTCAGCTCCATTTGCAGACATGTGTGATTCTGGGTTAACTACTCAGTCTCTTTGTGCTTTTTTGTTCATTTGCACAGTTGGAGAGAGAGGTCAATAAAGGTGGTTTATTAGATGATTTCTAGGTGCATTTTGCTTTTATTAGTTTATGTAAGGGGGACACGAACTGAAGTCAGCAGGGCAAACTGTGTGCCCCCTGTTTCTGTGAAGTAACCATGGCTTTTATACTTTAAGTGGTTGAAGGAGATCAAGACAATAAGATGTCATGTGGAAATTATGTAAAATTGACATATTCATGTAAGTTTTACTAGAAGTCAGCCACAATAATTCGTTTACATATTATCTGTGGCTTGTTTCATGCCTAGAGCACAGAGCTGAGTAGTGCTAGAGACCTGATGGCCCACAAAACCAAAAATATTTACTATCTAGCACTTTTCAGAAAAGTTCACCTACACCTGCTCAATGTGCATATAGTATACCTGCTTATTTTGGGTTGACTCATCTATTTTGTATGATATGTGCGCTCATCAGGTATTTTTCAAAATATTATTATAATGCATAATCCCATAAACTGCTCAGCTTCCTAAGAAGAGGGACTCTGTTTTGTTCACAATTAGAACCCTAATGCCTTACTCACAGTGCAGGCATATAGCAGGTGCTCAATGTTCATTGTTGAATAAACATTTTAACACCAGTGCCAAGCCGATTTCAAAACTCCAAAAGGAATTTCTCATCTAGTACAAACTAAGTTGCCTATTTTGGTAAGAGAGATCTAAAAACAGTATTTTAAAAACTTTTTTGCTGACCAAAATTCTCCCTGCATAAAATCCCCACTGAATTTTAGATATGCTATGAAAAGAGAATTTAAAAAATAAATTGGAATAGTTTTCCTGCCTAAATAAAGCATACGTGAAAAATACTTGGTAAGGTTTAAATGGCCTCAGCTCTTTACATCCGCGTGCCACGTTTTAAAAATGAGGATTATTGGAATCCAAGGCATGGTTGTCGGAAGCACTCTGCGTTTTTAAGCAGAGCGGCAAAAAAAAAAAAAAAAAAAAAAACCACCCCAAAACACAAGCCATGTGCGCTGATCAAAGTGAGTGTGTAAAGAACAAGATAAAATTTTGCATTCCTTGCAAAGTGAACATGTTGCATGTTGTGTTTCAGATTTATTACAGTTGAGTCATTTCGGGACACTAGTGTGTTTCCAGAAGAAAAGAGAGAAAGAAATCAAACTGAGGGACTTCTCCCAGGCACTAGCAACAGCGGACACCAGTATTCCAAGGCGGGTGGTGGCATGGTCAAAAAAAGGCGCCGCGGCCCCTTTAAGAGGTAGAGCACCTTCTCCAAGATACCATCTTGCACCAAGAGTTCACGTAAGCTCTCCACCTACCTTGCTATATCCCTCCCTGACTGGGCAAGACTGATCGGCGGGGAGAACGAGCCTTCTCATTGGGCTTGCATACGCAGCCTTCTCTCTTCTATTGGCTCTTACGCCCGCCACTCGGCGCTATGTCCCGCCCTCCTAAGCCGTTGGGCTCGGTTGAGTGAGGGCTCTGGGGTTAGTTCCTGTTAGGCCCGGGCCAGCGGAGTAGGTTGAAGTCTCGTAAGATGCCCGGTGGGCTGGGGCACCGGGAGCTGTGAAGAAGGCGTGAGGAGGCGACAAGGGAAGACCTCGGCAGGCCCGAACGAGAGCGGCGGCCGAGCCCGCCTTCCCTGCACCATGCTCATAGAGGATGTGGATGCCCTCAAGTCCTGGCTGGCCAAGTTACTGGAGCCGATGTGAGTGAGCCCAGCTCGGCCGGGGCCGGCGAACGTGGGGCGTTGGGGGCCCGCGGGGCGGGGGTGGGGTGGGGGAAAGCGGCGTGAAGGAGGGCGCCGCGGAGGGGCCGTGGTCTGGAGGTCCCAGCGTCGTCTTCCCTGTAGTACTATCACCATTATGGGGGGGAGGGGAGGGAGAGCTAGGGGCACACAGACCGTGTGGCTGTGGGGGCGGGGGGTGTGTGGAGGGCTTTTTAAGTATAAATCTTGTGGTGCTAGGAGGGGTGACAGGAATAGTGAGGTAGTAGAAAATATTGCTGTTTGAGAACTGCGAGCGATATCAGGGCTATCGAGGGGGTTTAAAATGTGAGTATTGGGATCTGGAAGGGAATAGAAGGATATTGAAGGCTTTACAAACAACGTTCCGGCACTAAAAGATCTAGAAGCGAAGAGAGTATCAGGGCCTCTCAAACCCTGAGGGCCGGTAGGGTTGGTAGGAACATTGAGGACTACATAAGCTCCGAGTTGAGGAATATTAAGGTATTTGAAAAATATGGGGTAGTTGAAAGGGAAATATAGACTGCGAAATATGTTAGGAATTATTGGAAAACTGGCAAGGATTTTAAGGGATGTAGAAGTATTGAGTTGATAGTACTAGGAGAACTGGTGACTTTTAAATACTATTTGGGGTTGGGGAAAAATTTGGATTTTGATATGTTCCATTGGGAGTTGTAAGGGCTACCTTGGTATCTAATAACAAATAATATTGGAGGAAAGACCGAAAGGGGTATACCTGCAGCATGTCAGGATTTTTAGATAAGGTGAAAAGGATAAGAGTTTTGTAAATATTGGAAGACCGAGAGGGCAACTGGAGATGTTGAGTAGGATTATTGTTGAGGTGCTGAAAAGAATGAGGAGCTTGTTTCAAGATATTTTGGTTAGTATTAGGGACCCATGAAAGGGAGAGCAGAGGTATCAACTCTTCTTTGTTTTGTAACCATTATAAAGGGGTGGGAGTGTATGTTTGGGACACGAACGTGTCTGTAGATGGTCTGTGGAGCACATCTCTTAGAGGGAAGGCTGGAGATTGGGTTGGAGAGAGGTGATAATCCTCTTGGGGAAGAAGGAAAGGGAAAGGGCAGTTTCCTGCCCCCTCCTGTGTGCTGCTTATCTTTCTGTTGGAGCTGGGGGCTTTCTTGCTTCAAGAAAAGGGGTAGAGGAAGAGATGAGCAGGCTTTGATTCATTAAATCAGATCACTTTAGTGGAAAAACGGGGTTTTTCAGAGGTGGAAGTGAGGGGTAGTAGAGGGGTGTGGAGGTAGGGTGAAGTTGGGGCTGTTGAGAAAGCTACTTCCTTTATTTTTTGGTCCTCCTGAGAAATCTTGTTAACGGATTTCTGTTTTGTTAACGCTAGTTTTTTGAGGTGGGATGGTGACACCTAGGCAAAGAGTCATTGGCAGTCCTCTCTGTCCTTTCAAAGGTAGGATGGGTAAGGGAGGCAGCATTAGGGGAATTCTGGTGTCTGAAATGGTGTTTGTATTCTGAGGATGAGGAGTATGTGACAAGAGCACAGGAAGAAAAAAGTGCATACTAGGGGCTGCTGAGTTTACTGTAGTGATGGTTTAAAGTGAAAGTGAATTGTTGACACACTTGAAGGTTTGTAAAAGAGATGAGCCTCTTGGATGTGCATCGCACTCTTTCTATAGTGAAAAGTTTTGGAACACGAAAATGAAGGTGGATTGTGTTGGAGGTGAGGAATAATGAAATCAGTCATATATGGAAAAGGTGGAAGAAAGAAAGAACTCTGTGTTTAAAAGTTCTTTACCTTTAATGTTATTTAACATTAAAAAAAAAACCCAAATCTTGGATCCTGCTTTTGTACACATGCTATTCATGTTGCCTTGTGTGTGTGTGTGTGTGACAGTTTTTCATACAAGTTCTGATTTTGTTTGTTGGTAGAGATCCTTTAAAAAGTATTGAATGTATATTTTATGTCTGGGTAGAAGATGACACATTTTAATATTATTGTTTGTTGCTTTTCTTTTTAAAGCTTCTCAAAATATTTTACTCTGGGTAGTGTTTTTTGTTTTTTCTTCCTTAATGTCAAAAGTTAGTTTGGGTAGGAACTTAAATCTCCTGAAGGTCTTTTCACTCAGCTTTGTTGGCTCTATACATGTTTGTAGATATTCAGTCATTTTTGTGGGTAAAATTATCTTTCAAAATTATTATTTGAGTTTAGTTTCCCCATTTGTTCTGAGTTTATGTTCAACTGAAAGCATACATCATGCTTCTTTCCTTTCTGTTGTCTTTAATTTTTGTTACTTTTTTAGGATTAAAAATAATCTAGAATTACTAAAGTTAGACTTTACCAATATAGTGGCATTCATAGAGCTTGAAAATAAAAATACTTCTTTTTAACTCACATAAGTAATGGTTTGGGGTGGAAGTGTTAAGAAATAATAAATATAAATACAGATATTGCATACATTTTCATTTTTAGTATGTTGTCATGGGAGGTTATTTTTGTTTGTTTAGACATCCTAAATGTAATAAATGATATGCTGAAGAGGGTTGTACTTGTAAATTTAGTCTTTGCGTATTCCAGATTAAGGAAAATTTTCATGGCTGATTGACATGTTGCTACAACATAGCATTTCAGAGCACTTGTTAGACTTTCAGATAGATGTAGTTGGCAATGGATATATTGGAATCATATTGTGGTACATGATTACCCACTGCACTTTTTATTTAGCTTAATTTACAGTTAACTAAATTTATATATTTTTTTAACTTTAGGGGTTTTGGGGTGGGCTGGGATGGGAGTAAAAGACAGAATACTGTAGTTGAAAAATAATTAAATAAAAAAATTAAAAAAGAACTTTAGGGGTTTTTAAGCATGTTATATCTTATCATTGGTGAAACAAAGGCATGTAAGAAGGTTATTTCTAAACCAATCTAGTTTACATATGATTATTCCCTGTGGACAAGTTAGAAGTATTATGTGCTGTAAGAGTTCATCTTTTACCTTCCTCTCTTTTTGTAGATATGGGCATACCTATTATTTGTACTAGAGGAAAGACAGAAGTAGGGAGCTTGGGAGAAATGACTCCTTAACTGGTGGGAGAAAATCCAGTACCATTTTTATTGGCAATGTAGTAAAGGGGAAAGAAACCATCTTAGTTAAGAAGTTTCTATCTATTTTCCTACTGCTGCATAAAAAGACTGAACTCACAGATTTTTGGGGGGTTCTTATTTTCCTCATTTTCAAAATATTCTAGAGGTCCTGGCTGGGTAGCTAAGTTATTTAGAGTGTCATTCTGATACACTAAGGTTGGGGGTTCGATTCCTGATCAGGGTACATACAAGAATCAACCAATGAAGTCATAAATAAGTGGAACAAATTGATGTTGCACATTCATTCTCTCTTCTTCCTTCTCCCTCCCTTTCTTCCTCTCCCCCTTCTCTCTTGCTCTAAAAATAATTTTTTTTAATATCCTAGATATCCTAGTTGTACAGCCTGTGTAGGGATAATGCACATTTAGGAGATGTCACAGTTTCATTCTATCAGAAATAACTGTTTAAGTATGGGAACCCCGTAAAAAGTAAGGTTCTAAGTAAATCTCAGGGATAAATTAATCACTGAAGAAATTTCTACACATTTAGAAAAAGTTCAGGCTAAACTTTTCCTTAAAAGTTTTTTTATTTGTTGATTTTAGAGAGATGAAAGGAGAAAGAGAGAAACATCGATTGGTTGATCCACTTATTTATGTATTCATTGGTTGACTCATGTATATGCCCTGATCAGGGATCAAACCTACAACCTTGGCATATCAGGACGATGCTCTAACCAACTAAAATACGTGGCCATGGCCAAGTGTTTTTAAATAACATGCATTTCTACCTGAAGTGTCTTTAATGGGGAGTATTTTAAGTTACTTGTATAATATATATTAAATATATATAAACATACGCAATTCACTGCTATTTGGCTTATTGTAAAAATTAGTCTTTTTGAAAAAGTGTCATATTTTTGGAGAGTTGTACATACCTGTCCATCCTAGTTAAGTATCGTTATATGTGTAAATCAGGGCATTTGGTTTCTAGTTCTGTGTCTGCAATTCATTGTGCTACTTTGGAGAAATTGCCTAACTTTTTTCTATTGAACGATGTTAATTTTATTATTAGCCTTTTACCTACCTCACAAACATGATTTGAATATTAATGATGCAGACTTAATAGTGCTTTGTGTACCTCAGAATCATTAAATATAGATGAAATTTTATGGTTTTGGAATGCGAAAATATACTAAACTCTTCCTGCAAGAGTAGTTTACTTACTAATGTTAAGTAAGCACCACTGCCACTTACAAAATAATAATCAGTCTTGTGCATGACAGAGCTAGAGTCTTATCGTGGGCAAGAATTGCTAATGAAAGCTATAGACTTGATGGACAGTGTTCGTGAGTACAGGCCATATTAAGGTCTTTGTAAGTATAATAGGAGACTGAATATGGTATTGCCATCTCTGATAGAAAAGGCAGCAATAAGGTTCACAGACTGAGATTATTTTATTGGTTCATATTTATTGGTTTAGTGGTCATGGAAGGTATACTTTGATTTAACTCTGTAAAGTTTACATGCGGCTACAGATACGCAATTTTTATCAAGTTAAAATGACTAGTAATCTCTGCAGTTGCTCAAATGGTAGGATAAATGATCACCTTGCAGCTGTTAGACTTTACCTCTGTGATAAATTAACTACTTGGGTGAAATGAGTATTTTGGAGGTATGTTCATAAAGTTGAGAGTACTGATAATTTTCTCACATGTACTTTATGGCTTCAAAGAATTAGTGTGTCTTCAAAGTGCTGTAGCACTTGTTCAAGGAGACCATTCACTGTTTCATAGAAGAGGACTTATTTTGACCAGAAGACTTCTCGGCAAGTTGTAGTATACTAAGTTAAGAGCATACTTGTTCTTATGTTTTTTGCTATGCCTCCTAAATATGTCTAACTTCATTCTT